CTTTCCTCTGTTAAATGGAACATTTAATGATTGTAAAAGCAGGTGTTCATATTGCAGCCACCAGATGGCAGTAAAGCTTCTTTCAAAATTTTACTATAATCCACTTAGGTAGTGAGCACATTAGTTGATTTGAATTATTTTGACATTTCAGTCACATTTTCTTGCAGGACATACTGAAAGTGCTGAGTAATTACCTAGTTTTAACTATAGTTTTTAAAAATTAGAAGCACAGAGAGGCATTCAGCCCTTTGAGCCTATTCTAAATATCATTAGAATCAAAACTTAGTTGATCTCTGTCTTGAATGCACTCAGTTATTGAATATATTACATAACGGAGACTTTCAAGTATTCATATCCTTTGAGTGATGGAGGATATCCTCAATATGAAGACAGTACCTCATCGCCTTCCAAGTACTGTGTTGCATCCCAGGTGGGCCTGTGCTGCCTGTGGTGCAGAGATTGTGATGGTTATCCTTTCGTTGAACATGGGTATCACATCTAGGTCACACTAGGTGATGACAGCAGATTTCCTTCAATTAGGGAAGCAGATGGGTTTTCACAATCAATGATAGTTTCACGGTCACCATTACTGAGACTAGCTTTATATTTCAAATTTTTGTTCAATTAATTTAACTTCAAGTCTGCCAGCTGCCATGGAGGGATTTGAACCTGGTCCCCAGGGTGTATGTTAATGGCACTTCACCAACTCCATTGTGTCTGGGAATTGCCTGCAACATATGATTCCATGAGTATGACTATGTCAGACTGTTGCTTGACTAGTCTGTGAGACCACTGTCCCAATTTTGGCACTAACCCCCAGATGTTTGGGACTTTGTACCATCAAAAGGGCTGTGTTCACCGTCATGTTTTCTGGTTATGGAGTCAGTGCCAGGTGGTCTGTCTGGTTCCATTTCTTCGTTTAGATTTCATAGCGGTTTACTAGAACTCGGTGGTATCCTTTCAGAGTACAGTTAAGAGTCAGCAACCTTGCTCTGTGTGTGCGCGTGTGTGTGTGTGCGCGTGTGTGTGTGGAGTGACATGTATATCAAACCAGGTAAGAATAGCAGATTTTCTTCCCTCAGTTGTCATTATGATAGCTTTTAATTCCAGATATTTATTGAATTTACGTTTCACTATCTGCCACTTGGTGAGATTCAAACTCATCCCCAAAATATTAGCCTGCAGTTTCAGGATTATAAGGTTAGTGACATTAATCACTGCGCCACTGCATCCCAACCTTCTCCTTGGTCCTTCTGTCCCCCTCCCCGGCGTTCCATTGACTTAAAAACTCTTTATTTCACTTCAGTGCCGATGAAAGGTCATTTAGACTTAAAATATTCTCTATGGTTCTCTCCACAGATGCTAGCTAATCTCTTCAGTTTTTAGACCATTTGTTACTATTTCAGATTTCCAGGAACTGCAGAAATTTGTTTTTATGCTGCTGTCCTCAGTTGTGTGTGTTCTATTATGATACTATAAGTTAACACTGATAAATCACCATAATTCCTGTGGAAGGCCTGAGCTGATTTTCAGTGCGTTTCATTAAAGATAACTTCTCATTGTTCGATAACAGCTGCTTTGAAACTTGATATACTCAAAACTCTCTCTGATGGACAAAAGAAGGGGGCCATCACTTCAACAATAAGTTAAATTCTGAGAATTTCATCAAATTTGTTTACCTAGCAAACTTTTGGGTTTTCATCAGCGGGCACATGGGGAAAGCGCAGTATGAAACCAAACAGTCCTATGTTGAACAGAATGTTACTCTGCGGTTCTGTTCGGGAACTCCCTCAGAGCATTGTGGGTCTACCCACAGCACATGGACTGCAGCGATTCAAGGAGGCAGCTCACCCCCACCTTCTCAAGGGTCATTAGGGACAGGCAATAAACGCTGGTCCAGTCAGCGATGCCCACGTCCCATGCATGAATGATAATACAAAACAATGTTTTCCGTTGAATTGCTGTTATCCACAAGCCAGCTAAAGTGGAGGCAACAAGGTGTAGAGCTGGATGAACACAGCAGGCCAAGCAGCATCAGAGGAGCAGGAAAGCTGACATTTTGGGTCTAGACCCTTCTTCAGAAATCATTCAGAAACGTCAGCCTTCCTGCTCCGCTGATGCTGCTTGGCCTGCTGTGTTCATCCAGCTCTACACCTTGTTATCTCAGATTCTCCAGCATCTGCAGTTCCTACTATCTCTCTCCAGCTAAAGTGGACTTCCTCATATATTGTGCCTGTTGATTTGATCAGTTACCTGAATAAATCACATTTCTTGGCTCATTTTTTTCAGCAGTTTATTTTAATTGATTCTCCTGAAATATAAATGCCATTGAAGAATGAGACATTAAATACAGATTTATTGTTGACACAACTTGAAACATAATTCAGCACGATCTAAGGATTTATCATGAAATTATTCATGGCTATTTTAATTCGAAATCCACATATTGTATTTGTTTGCAATTCATTGCTTTGATTTCCCCATGCTTCCGGCATATTTTCCATTAAGGGCCAGTTGCATAATCACTTGCCTGATGAGGTTCGTTGCTCATATAATGACGGGATTGCATAACCTCTGCTGTAGCAGGATCACTTCTGCATGAACAGCTGAGCACAAATATTTTCACTGTTACCCTGCAAGACCATGCACCTTAATACAAAGCCCTAAAATGGTTTTTGGCCTTTCGTTTTCTTTGTAGACTTGAGCAACAAACCAATTTTATAGGCATTCAATAATTCAGCTTCCCACTTTAGAGGAATAATTTGATTCCAGTTCTGATTGAATATTGAATTAGTATGATACAGCTAGGAATCGATTCATGCAGTGATTTCAAAGAAGTTAATGCAGCAGCTTTCTGCTGTCACTAGACAATGATTGTTTCAAGTATGCAATGTAGTGCTCACAAATGGATAAAATGTTTTTCTTTGCAGCAGTTATTTCTCCACATTCCTCCACCACAATGAAAAATGTTGTTCAAAATTTATGCTGTGCTCTCAAAGAATACATGTTGAGACTGAGAGATACTTACAAATGTGAGGTTATTGTATGTTTTGGTTTTGTTTCTTCTCCTGAATCTCCTATTGCCATGCACTGTAATTCAAGCAATAGAACAGGCTGCAGTAATGTTGACCGATCATCTAATTTTACTTTTCTTCTTTAGTACTAAGTGCTTGGCTCAAAAACTGCTAGTACATTAAGTACAGGAAATCGCTGTGCAAGCCCATTTCCTCAAACTTAATGGCACTGTGAGGCAGCACTTAAATGCACTCTACATGTACTTTTCTGGTTTGCTGCACTCTGTTATTGCTTATCACACTGGAGAATGCCTGACAGTACTGGGAACAACTCGTCCTGGTGAGTGTAATGTGTTAACACTGAGAACTCTCGGCAGGAAATGCACCACTTGTTAAAGAGAGGGTAAAATTATTTCTCCTTAAACCCAACAATATACATTCATCTAAATAGAGGAGGAACTACAAGGCACAATGTTTGAATTCACACATTAGCTATCTCTGCAACTTTATCATTTATGACCAAAACAGCATTCAGATCCAACACAAATTCATAAGGTAATTCATTTAGATTCTCGTTGGCAGGGAACGTTATTGGCAATAGATAGAAATATGAAATTTGAAACACACAAACCAATCTTATTGAGGAACAGTGAATGCCCAAGGGGCCGAATGGTCTACTTGTGCTCCTCATTTGTATATAAATAGTATCTGTAATTATAGGCTTCAGTGCTTGTATAGTGAATTTGAGTTCTGTTACCTCAGTAGCAGACTCATTGCCTCAGGTTTTTTTTTTGTGGATGTTTGGTTATGCTATCTGAATAACAGAATCATAAACATCAAGAGCTAGTTCAAGAGTTCTAGGTTACCAAAACTAAAATTGTACCACTATTAAACTGTAGTTTATTATACTGAGTAGGAGGAGTGTTTTTTTTAAATTGAAATAAGAATAGATGTAAAGTAGATAAAATTGTCATAGTCTCATGCGATCACAGGGCTGGTCACTCATTAGAGAGACAACTGATGTGAGTTTAACCTGAGGGTTACCACGCCTCAGGGCAAATGTGTTTATAAGAGCAAGGAAGAATAGCCACCAGGACTTAAAGGGTTTAACTTTAGGAAAACTTGAATTGCTGTGGCTTGTATTTTCTTAATGTTGGATAATGAAGAGCCATCTAGTCAGGGTGTTTTAAATAGATTCGGTAGGGTAGACAGAGAGAAACTTGTTTCCCTTATATGGGGGAATCCAGAAGAAGAAGCCGTTAGGGAGACAGTGTTGTAGTGGTAATGTCACTAGACCAGTAATCCAAAACCTGAGGTTCTGTGGATATGGGGTTCAGTCCCACCGTGGCAGATGGTGAATTTGTATTTAATTAAAAAAAGCGGAATAAAACAGTCTAATGATAACTATGTAACCATTGTTGATTGTTGTCGGTACCCACCTGGTTCACTACCGAAATCTGCCATCTTTACTTGGTCTATACTATATCTGATTCAGTTGACTCACAACTGATTGCCTCCAGGCAATTAGCAATGGTTAATAAATGCTGCCTGGCCAGTGATATCTACATCCCATGAAATAATTTTTTTAAATCCTAAATATTGCCTCTTCACACAAAGGGTAGCAGAAGCCTGAAACTCTTTTCCCAAAGTGCTGTTGGACACTAGGGATGAATTGAAGCTTTCACAACTCTGATCAACATTTTTATCCCCTGGATAAATGTATCAAGGGACTTGGAATGATGATTCTGTTTAAATAGCCCATTCTTATTCTGGTGTTGGTAATTTCCAGCTCTGCATTTGTTCCTTTAGAGTTGGAATATTGACAATGTATTTTCATAAATAAAGGAGATGATATGCTGTTGTTGAGTACACTATATGCATACTGTTACAGATTGTTACTTGTTTATTATTAAGATGGTGGAATTCTGGATATTACTCTTTTAACAAGTACAAAATGTTTTCTCCTTTTGTGCTTGTTTTTGACAGATCATAAGCACACCACAGCGTTTGAGCAACTCTGGGAGTGTTCTGATCGGAAGCCCATACACCCCCACACCAGCCATGGTTACCCAGAGTCACATAACAGACCCATCTGGCTGGGTCACAGGGTAAGCGTTAATTTTCTCTTGAAAACTACATTCCAATTCAGGAAGTAAACCTGAAAAAGTATCTGCTGAAAATTAAACATACTGCCCAACAAAACTCTTACGACAAAATAGGTTTATGAACTGAAATTGCATTTGACGGGTAGTATAAATTTAAATTTTGGATGTGAAATATTTTGTGCTGTTATGATGTAAGATGGCAAGGTGATATCACGATTGCTTGGCAAAAGTACCCGGAGGTTAGTTTAAACTGAGACCACTGTTGCTCAAGTTGGTAGTGGATATGAGGGTAACTGTGCTACCAGCCAGCAAGTAAAACTTTTAATGAAATGAAATAGCAAGACTTCATTTCCTTTCTGCAGGCAATGATGATACTCTATCTTAAGAGGTGTATTTTGTTCTGGGTTTTTTTTATGAAGAAAGGTTGTGACAGAGGTGCCGGGCAGTTTGTTCCAAAGCCAATAAAGTATACATTTTGTGAGGACTTGGGTTATTTTTAAAGTTGGAACAATAGAAGCAGCCTGAATGGGTGGGATTAAGCTCCCACAGAACCAGGATTTGTAGTTTTTCAGTAGTGGTTGCAGGGGTCTTGAAGCTGGGTTTGGAAGCTGCAGTACATCTGTCCCTGCTACTTTCTCTCTCTCTCTGAGTTTTCTCTTAATGTTTTTCCTCCTGGACTGAAGAATTGCCTGTGACACATTCTATTTTACTGAAAATTTGCCTTTGCCAAGGGTGTGTTTTATGGGATGTTACTATATTGGAATGGTTACTGTTTAGTAGTTAAGTAATCTATTATTCTGTTAAATTTTCCAATAGAAGTAAATTATTCCAATTCTTTCTTTTGTTGTATTTTAACTATAGTGTATGGATAATGTGTGTTACTTCAAGACTGATAATTTGACCAATCGAATTACATACAGAACATAACACCTTGCACTTGCCTTTAGAGTAAGAATATGTTAGGTCTAGGCTATCTCCTAAATATATTTTGGGTGGTTTGGTCTGGTCTATAAGAAGGCACACTGGCATTAGTTTGAGGATGAAACTCTTCAGAAAATTATTGTAATAGTACATACTTAGTGTAATAAAGTTAAAATGTGCCCCTTGATTTTGCAAAATTGATCGTGTAGTTTATGTACTTTCTCCTCTGTTTCCTATAACTCCTTCCCATGAAATGAAAACATGTGCTAGCACAACACCAGTAGAAATTGCTGACCTCTCACATATGATTGTCATCCAGGATAGAATGATACAGCAGACTCAATGGGCCGAATAACCTGATTCTGTTCCCATATCTTATGGTATGCTGGAGAATGTATTTCACATACATTACAAACAACTAACGCTTCTCAGAATTCAAGGAAATAAGGTGATCACAATGAAAAAACACACTCTCACACTTGGCTTTTTGTCTTACTACTTTACCAACAAATGCACCAGAGAACAGGATGGAGCTGCCCTTGGAGTACTCAACATTGACTTCAGACTTCAAGAAGTCTCATGGCATCTGGTCAGACATGGGCAAGGAAGCTTCCTGCTGTTTTACCATGTACCACAGCTGATGAATCAGTACTTCTCAAAACACAACTGAGGAAGCACTGAGGGTGGCAAGAGAACTGAACGTGCTCTGGGTGGGACCTTCAATGTCCACCAGCAGGAATATCCCGGCAGCAAAACATACATTGAACGGTTGGGTCCTAAAGGACATAGCTGCTAGACTGGGTCTGTGGCAGGTGGTGAGGGCATCAAGAGGGAAAAGCATACTTGACCTCATCCTTACCAATCTGCCAGCTGCACGTGAATCTGCCCGTGTCATATATCAGTAAAAGTGACCACCACCCAGACCTTGAAATTCCATTTTCACATTGAAAATACCCTCCATCATGTGTGGCACTATCACCGTGTTAAATGGGATAGACTTTGAACAGATCTAGCGATTCAAGACTAGACATCAGTGAGGGGGCTGTGGGCTGTCAACAGCAGCAGAATTGTACTCCAGCACAATCTGCAAACCTCATGGCCAGGCATATCCCTCATTCAACCGTGACTGTCAAGCAAGGGGATCAACCCTAGTTCAATGAAGAGTTCAAGAGGGCTTGTCAGGAGCAGCACCAGACATACCTAAAAATGAGGTGCTAACTGGGCGAAGCTACAACGCAGGATTACTTGCACAATAGCATAAACAGCAAGACAGCTAAGTGATCCCACAACCAACGGATCTAAGCTCTGCAGTCCTGCCACATCCAGTGGTGAATGGTGATGGACAATTAAACAACTCACTGGAAGAGGAGGCTCCACAAATATCCCCATCCTCAATGATGGAAGAGCCCAGCACATCAGTGCAAAAGATAAGGCTGAAGCTTTCGCAGCAATCTTCAGCCAGAAGTGCCGAGTGGATGATCCATCTTGGCCTCCTCCAGTGGTCCCCAGCTTCACAGATACCAGTCTTCAGCCAATTCGATTCACTCCACGTGATATCAAGAAATGGTTGGAGACACCGGATACTGCAAAGGCTACAGGCCCTGACAACATTTCAGCAATAGTACTGAAGACTTGTGCTCCAGAATTTGCCGTTCCCCTAGCCAAGCTCTTCCAGTACAGTTACAACACTGGCATCAACCCGACAATGTGAAAATTTGCCCAGATGTATCCTGCACAGAAAAAACAGGACAAATCCAACTCAGCCAATTGCCACCCCATCAGTCTGCTCTCGATCATCAGTAAATTTAAAGTTTTCGAAAAGATTTGTAGCTCGGGTTGTTGTTGAGGTTGTAGACATGCTCGCAGAGCCAGAGGGTTTGGTTGCAAATGTTTTGTCACCCTGCTAGGTAACATGGTCAGTATGTCTCCGATGAAGCATCAGTGTTCTGTCCCGTTTGTTATTTATATGCCTCAGTTTGCTGGGGTGTTTGGTGTTACTTCCAATTCTGTTTCTCTGGATTTTACACAGGGTCTAATTCACTGCTAAACAAAAACCGAAAGAACTGCGGATGCTGTAAATCGGAAACAGAAACAAAGTTGCTGGAGAAGCTCAGTAGGCCTGGCAGCATCTATGAAGGAAAAAACAGAGTTAACGTTTTGGGCCTGGTGACCCTTCCTCATAACAGGGTCTCTGTGTTTGTTGATGGAGTTCCGGTTAGAATACCAGGCCTTCAGGAATTCCTTAGCGTCTCTCTGTTTGGCTTGTGCAATTATGGATGTGTTGTCCCAGTTGAATTTGTGTCCCTCGTTGTCCATGTGTAGTGAGACAAGTGAGAATTGGTCGTGTCTCTTGGTAGCTATTTGGTGTTCATGCATCCGTATTGTTAGTTTTCTTCCGGTTTGGCCTATGTAATGTTTCTTACGGTCCTTGCATGGTGTTTTTTATATTACCTCGGTTTTGCTGGTTTGGGGTATGGGATCCTTTATGTTCGTCAGTAGCTGTCGTAGGGTGGTTGTCGGTTTGTGGGCTGCTCTGATACCTCAGTGTCTGAGTACTCTTGTGGTCATCTCTGAAATGTACAGTAGGGTGATTAGTGAGTCTGATCGTGTTGTGTCTTCCTGTTGTGCTCTGTCTCGGAGGTAATAGCGGCTTGTGCTTTTTGGGTATCCATTCCTTTTGAAGACTCCGTATAGGTGCTCCTGTTCTGCTTTGCGTAGTTCCAGGTTGCTGCAATGTCTTGTGGCTCATTTAAATAGCGTCCTGATGTAGCTCCGTTTGTGGGCATTGGGGTGGTTGCTAGTGTAATTGAGTATCTGGTCCGTATGTGTGATCTTTCTATATACACTTGTCTGGAGTGCCCTGTTGTCTTTGTGTTCTTCCGTACAACAGACCATCAGACAGATGACAGTCCAAATGCTGAGCTAAGAAAAGGGGAACACATTCAACACTGAAGAGAGAAAAGCCCTGGAAAAACCAACAACCACCCTACGACAGCCACTGATGAACGTAAACGATCCCATGCCCAAAAACAGCAAAACTGGGGTAATATACAAAGTACCATGCAAGGACTGTGAGAAACACTACATTGGCCAAACTGGAAGAAGACTGACAATAAGGATACCTGAACACCATCTAGTCACCAAGAGACACGACCAATTCTCACTGGTCTCACTACACACGAACAGTGAGGGACACAAATTTGACTGGGACAATACATCCAAAATTGCACGAGCCAAACGGAGACATGCCAGGGAATTCCTGGAGGCCTGGTATTCCAACCAGAACTCCATCAACAAACTCAATGAATGAGCACCTCATATTCTGCCTTGGAAGTCTACAACCCAATGGTCTCAATTTGAACTTTAGTAGCTTCAAAATCTCCCCACCCTTGACCTCATCCCAAGACCAGCCCTCCCTCTCATCCCCGCCTCCTTGACCTGTCCATCTTCTCTCCCACCTATCCACTCCTCCCACCTCACTGACCAATCCCCATCCCCACTTCCTACCTGCACTCACCTTTACTAGCTTCATCCCCGCTTCCTTGACCTGTCCGTCTTCTCTCCCACCCTATCTGCTCCACTACCCATCTGCTATCACCGCCCCCTCCCCCACTTATTTCAGACCCCCCTTCCCCTCCCCTCCCCCATTTCTGAAGAAGGGTCCCAACCCGAACAGTCAGCTTTCCTGCTCCTCTGATGCTGCCTGGCCTGCTGTTTCCTCCAGCTGCACACCTTGTTATCTCAGACTCCAGCATCGGCAGTTTTTACTGTCTTATAATGAATTAGACCCTGTGTACGAACCACTGAGAAACAGAATTGGAAGCGATACCAACCATCCCAGCAAGCCAAGGCATATAAATAACAAGTGGGACAGAACACTGATGCTTCACCGGAGGCGCACCTACGATGTTATCTAGCAGGATAACAAAACCAAACTCACCGGCTCGGCGAGCGTGTCTACAACCTCATTGTTAAACTCTTAAAATTTGTCTATAACAGTGCTATGAAGCAGCACCTGCTCAGCAATAACCTGCTCACAGGCACTGAATTAGGGGGTTCTGTAGGGTCCACTCAGCTCCTGA